ATACCTAGATGTCCTCCCAAAGCCTCATGTGCTCATAGATGAGGTTTTGAAAGGTGACTGAATTATGGGAGCCCTATAGCTAATGTTAGGAGGTGGGGGTCTCGTCAGAAGAGTGCGGGGCATGACCCAGAGGACATTATCTCCATCCCCTGCTCCTTTCTGTGATTCCTGGCCACCATGATGTGAGCAGCTTTCCTCCTCTAGTCCCTTTCACCATGCCTTCTTGCTTGGCAGCTAGCCAACTGTGGATTAAAAATGTGAACCAAAATAAACCTTGCTTCTTTTAAGTAGCAGGTGTGAGGTATTGTCAAGTGATCAAGAATTCGGGCTCTCCCAAGGCCTGACAGCAAGTCAAAAATTGTGCCTTAAGAGGCAGTTACCTGCAGAGACTGGTAGAACTATCTTTCAAAATCCTCAAGGTCTGCATTGTCGTTTGCCTGCAGGAGCCTGGCAAAGTATAAAGCAGCCTCATTTACCACAGACACTTTGAGATCATGGATCTGCTCATTCATAAGACCCAACCTACGATACAGCTCAAACCTGTTGCAGGGCTTGTTCTTGTTCTGGGCTGTGCTCAAAACTGGCAGCAATTTAGATTCCTCAGTGAACAGGTTCAAATAGAGCAAAGTAAAAATTAATTCCAAAATCCAAAGAAGTCTTTTAGGCACTATCTTTTCTTAGTGGCAAAAGGTGTCAGGTGCAGTAATTTGTCCTTCACTTAAGGATGTTGCAACATGTCTCTGTCCATTGGAACCCCGGAAAGGGGTGTGGTGTGTGTGTGTGTGTGTGTGTGTGTGTGTGTGTGTGTCCTATTTCCTGTTCTCTGATATGCTTGAGTCTTACTAAAGCACCCATGCTAGGTACTGCATTCTGTTCTGCATGCCCATGATAGTGGGCCAGCATATCCCAGACTGCAGAGGTGAATAAAAGCTGTGCAGACCAGTTAGAACAGAGCCCTGACATCAGATGAAGTTGGATTGCTGGGCCTGTCAGAACCCAAACTAAACTACTTTTGGCTGTCACTACTATCAGGTCTTGAGGAAAAAAGCTTATGCCAATAGCTATATACCAGGTGGCAGGCGATATGTTGATTTGCTTTGCAAAAAAAATTTCACAAAAAGCAACTACTTCTGGAACAGCAGTTACGAATTGCTTCCTGATTATAATTCACTGCCACTCTCCATGTCCTCTGCACAAACCAAATACTGCATTGAATGGAGATATGGTAGGAACCCTCAACCCTGCAACTCAAGTCTTTACTGACAGCATTAATTTCCTCCATCTTTTTGGGAAATGTGGTAGCGTTGCTTTTAGTTTACTGTTTTGGTAATTAGAAGCAGTTGTAGTTGCCTCCATGTAGCCTTTTTAGGTAGCATCTATATACCTCAGGCTGGCCTTGAACTTGCAGCAATCCTCCTGCCTCAGCCTCCTGAGTGCTGGGATTACAGGCATGCACTGCCATACCTAGCTTGCAAGGTAATCTTTTGGCGGGGGGCAGATACTGGAGATCGAACTCTGGCCCGTGCCCTTGCTTGCAGGGTGGGCAGCAGAACCACTGAACCAGATCCGCAGCCCAAGGCAATCTTGACAGAGGGAATTGGAGGAACCCAAACTCTGATTAGATACTAGAGTACCTTCCACTTTCCTGATTTTCCGTGGTTGAATCCCTTCTGAGAAAACCCAAATGAAAGCCAGGCAGAGGAAGTGCTGTGACCTACATAGGTCAAAAGTCTGGACAGAGAGCTGAGAACAGACCTGGGGAGGAAACACATCCCCATACACCATGTCCCACAATTAGCTGATAGGAAACAAAACTGGGTCTAGGAAGACTCTCCTACAGTATCTCCAAGGAAATGTGACCTTGCACCAGACTGTGCAGGGACATTGAGTTCACATGCATTCTTTGCCCCTCAGGCTGACCATATCTCCAGAGATGGTGTATACAAAGGAAAATCTGGAAGCATGTTACTTAATCGGACTTTTCCATGCTCTAGCTTTAAAACTCTGGAAATAAAAGTGTACAGGAACTAAATTCTAATGTTTTTAAGACATTAGTTGTTCCACCTCACTTAATTGGCAACAATACTTAAAACATTTTATTATTTATTTTTTTGGTGTTGAGTCAGGGTCTTGCTATACAATTCAGACTGGCTTTCAACTCCCTTTGTAGCCCAAGCTGGCTTTGAACTCAGTGATCTTCCTCCTCAGCCTCAAGTGCTGGGATTATAGGCACGCACAACCATGGCCAGCTGAAAACTGCATACCAATCTTTGGCATAGCACTTACAGCTATTTGCTGAACTTAATTAGCCAAGGTCATAGATTCTACCGTTTTTCTCAGCAAGTTTGTTAACCTTTACATTTGTGTGAAGAAACAGGGATCTCAGTGTCCGGGCTTGCCAGGCTCAAAACAACCTCCTGCCTCAGCCCTTGAAGCAGGTGGGACTCCAGGCATGCATCATTACACCTTGTAAGGCACAAACTTAAAGACATTTTTGTAATTTGGATGTCCAGTTAGTTGTTCCAAGACTACTGGTTGAAAACTATCCTTCCTCCATTGAATTGTCTTTGCAACTGTTAAAATCATTACGTGTATGCCTATTTTTTGGCTTTTTACAATACCCAAGTCTTATCTTGTTGCCAAAACCACATTGTTCTTGACTACGGTAACCTTAGTTGTGTCTTCAAATTAGGCAGTCTCCAATTCTGTCCTCTTACAAAGTTAAGGCATGCTGGGATTAGTTGAAAATGGTTCTGGTTTTATAGATCAAACTGTGAAACACTTATGTATTATAAATACAGTTCTTTCTTTCGGTGGAGTGCTCAGGACAATGTGTGGAGGCTTCGGTATCTCACTCTCTTCATTTGGGTGTTCTGACTTCTCATCAGTGTTTTTGTAGTCTTGTAATAAATGACCGTGAGTGAATTTAGCTTTACACCTGATAACAATTTTGGGAGGTAATGAATCTCTCAACGTATTGTAGACCATCCCTCCCTCCTAAATGACTTAGTTTTCTATTTGGCTAAGAAAACCAACAGGACAAAGTGGTAAGTAGGCCATTTAGGATAGATGAACACTCAACATTTTACTCAACTTGGCGCACAAGAATAATGTTGAGAATGCCTGTTTCACTATGTGAATAATGCTTTCAAACTCAGATTCCTAAACACAACCTATTCTTAAAAGACATACAGCACACACACATTTGGAGTTCCAGTGGGCTTTTATTGAGATAAATTAACAAAAATCAAGATTTTTCCAACCGTCTTTTTTGAACCTTATAAAACTCAGCAGACTCTGGTCCACGTACACGAACATACAACATAACACATCCCAACAAAAACAGAGCTCCACTGGAACACTTGCCAATTAACAGAAAGCCAATTTTCTCTTTTCCTAAATGTTTTCAAATTTTTGAGTTCCCACTATTATCTTCTCAGTGGAACTGGTCCCTTGTGGCTAGGGACATTGGAATTTTCTCCCATTTTTAATGAACAAAAATTACATTTTTAAAAGTTTTTGTTTCAAAAAAGGGAAAAGACTTTGTTTTCTCCAGGCACCCCTCCCCAACAACCACTGGTTAAAATACAGGAGCCTGTATCTTAACAACCCAGCCCTACCCCTCCCTTGTCCTGCTCAGTATCGGCTACTGGAGAATTTAAATACACTTCTGTTGGAATCTATCAGCTGTGGAGGGGCAGAGACCAGGTGCCAGGTTACCTCCCTCTGACCTCATGAACTGTGACAACCTTTGGACACTTAACTCTTTACCCTAAAGATGAGTTTTAAGATCAAAGAAGAGTTTAGATTTTTCCTTTGGAGTCAAAAAACAAAACACCCCCCCCAACATTTTATGACTATAAATTACAAGGGTCAGTAAAGTCCACCTTAGTTCACCAAAAAACTGACTTATTTCAGCTCCCATGAGGTCAATAATTTTGCCCGACAAAGCTATTTGGCAAGAAAATGATTCCACAGTAACAATTTTAGATACGTTAAGACAATTTAAAAAAACACAGCAAATTAAAATAACATGGCTTAATTCCCAAGAACTTATTTCATCTTTTTGTTACTCATCTAGTAGGTCACGAGTGTGGCTAAAGGCAGTTTTTGATGAAGTTATGAGCTTCCAAAGTGTTTCTAAATCCTTAGTGCAGACACCCTCCCTTTTGGGGGCACAGTACCCTCCCTCCCATCCCTTATTTAAAAAAAAAATTAAATCAAGTGATCAGAATGAGATGTTTTGATTCCAACAATGTACACTCAAGGCTTTGTGCTGAGTTATCCTGCTCTAACCAAGTATGATGGTATCAAACACAAAGCCAAGTGACAAAGGAAAGATGCTCCCATCTCATTCTGAAAACAAATACTGATAGCCACCCACCCCACCCCAATATTTTTGGGCCAACCCAATGTTTACAGATGCTGGGACCAACATGAAAATAATTCTGAAATGTATTTAGGTTTTCCTCTTACTTCTTCCTGAGAACAATCTTTTAGGATAAACTTTTTCCACTCTCAAGTGAAAGGCAATAGTTTAACTTCAGAACATGAGTTGGATGTAGTTTTAATTTAGGGACTAGAACGCTGGAAAAAATATAAGCATTACTTAGAAACAAATCCAATATTAGAATCTGAAGACAATTTCTAATAGTAACAATTCTCCTTATTTGAGGGATTAAAAAAAAAGACCAGGCCTGACCTAGTCATTAGAGCATCTTTCCATTTAACAATTCCTATTTGAGTCAAGCACCAAAACTGGACAGCTGCCTCATTAAAGGATAGTGTCCAATCCGGGCATCCCATATAGTTTAAGTGCCACTCCTCGTCAGAGGCTGTACTTCAGTAATACTTTCAATTTTAAGTCTGTGCTTTAAGAGGGACCCACAGGCATGTGGCACCAGGCAGAGCAGTCTTAAGGTTGACGAGAAGACTGCACTTTTTGTTTAGTTGCCCACTCTCTAGCGAGATATAAAGTTACATTTACATTCCTTTCTTGCTTTTACATGAATGATCCCTCTTATCTCGCTAGATGTGGGGGAGAAGAGCTGCATCAGTACAAGGGCAAGATTTGTTGGTCAAACGATGACACCTTTTAAGTTCCCACCCTTACCCCTCCCTGGAAAAAAGATAAAATTTAATGTCCTTAATCAGGATTTGTGTTTGGTAACCAACACTGGATATGTGACTTGGATTCCAAAGAAATAAACTTGCTCATTTTTGAGTTTGTACTATGCAGCTCTTGCTACAGTTAGAGTCAGGGCTATGTCCGATCAGGAGACATCTGTAGGATTTTGATCCTCAAGGAATTTTGGGTAATTTGCAAATAGTTTTACTTAGAACTAGGCAGAGTCAAAAAAGCAACTTCAAATAAATGATTTCTTTATCCAGATGCGTTAAGTATGAAAGCATATGCAGGATTTATCTTGTAATATTTTAGGGTTCTGAGAAAGAACAGAATATGGAAATCAATTTTTTTCAATTTTGTTTTGCTTTTTTTTTCTTCCCCTAGATGACTCCTGATTGACCTAGTACACTGGGTTAAAAGGGAATTAAAAACATTAAAAAAAAAAGTTCACTGGTTTTGATTCATCTCACTCCTTTTGCCTGGAGATCAGGCCAAACATCAAGCATGTTGGGAGGGGCACAATTTAAAGCAACACTATTGACTGTTAAGCATTTGCCAGCAATTTACAATGCAAAATGGCAGGTAAAGATTCTTGTCAACAACACAAGAGGATGGCAAGCAGCTTTCTGTAGCATGAAAGTTAACAGCTCTCGGGGTTGCCCATTCCTGCAAGTTTATGTATCAAAGTGGACAGAAGGCAACACGCCTACAACACTACAGGAGGTGACCCACAGAAAATTAAGTTCCCGAATTGCTAACACTGCCAAAGCTGGTACTGGCTAATATTCTGAAATGCAAATCCATGCTTTATACATATTCTACTCAAAGATGCTGCCACTCAACTGAATTCTCCCACTACAAAGTAGATTAATTTTTGCTCCCTTCTGCAGTTTGAAAATTTCCTCAAACTTTTAGAAAGGGAGATGCAAAATCAGAGAGCTTCTCAAAAATTCATCTTGATTATAGTTTAAAGCTTTCCTGCTCTCTGGTAAGACTATTCCATATATTCTAGATGAGACAGCATGGCAGCAACCAGTGCATCCCAGACTTCTGGGTCCCTTTTCTAATACAGGGTCCCCACAGAGGTCTGCTCTCTACAGTAAGAGGCCAAGGACTTTTGAGAATTTAGTGTTGCGGAAAACTGAGCCCCTCTCATCTTTAGCTGCTCCCATAATCACTCTAATCCCCTTAATCCCAGCAACCTTCATCCAAAAAAAAAATAATATATATATATGTATATATATATATATATTTATATATGTGTGTGTGTGTGAACCCAGAAAAAAACTTATTTACAAAGTTTATACAAGTATACACACCCAATTTTCTATGGGACGCGCTTTGCCACAGAGGAAAGAGGGTCGAGGCTCTGACATGTCTACACATCAAGTGCCATACTGCTAATGGAGGCGTATGTAAACCAGTCTTTAGTGTTCTGCTATAGAGCACAAAGGCTTGTCATATGGCTCCTGCAATGATAGACTGCTCTTTCCTTTGGGAGCGATGATATTGTATCTACTCAGCCCAGAAGAAATTTTTACTTGGGATTGTTTTCTTAAATACATGTATTTACAGCGCGGATGAACTGCAGTTGCATATCAACTCCTCCACATAAAGAAAATAATAATGGTATTTAACATTACTAATAAGTTTCATCTTCCAGCCCTGGGCTTGAGTATTGGGTAGAAAGGGAAGAGAGACTTCAACGTGAAACCAAAATGAACCGACAAAAATTTTTTAAAAAGAAAAGGGGGCGGGGAGAAGAAAATTACTCTGTTGATTCCTTGGGCTGTGTCTATAAGATGATATTCTGAATGGTCTCATAGCATAAGGCACTTCGCACAAATAAGTAATAAGCTCTTCAGGCTTAAAAAACGGATGAGTAATCAGGGAGAAGTTGAAATGCACTCAAGAGTCAGCTGTTGGAGAATTTCAAAATTGTAGACAAGCTTGCGTTGTTCATCGAGATTCTTCTCTTTTTAGGGTTTCTCCCCTTCTCTTTTCCTCCTTCCTTGTCCCCTTTTCCCCAGAAAACATTTTTTAAAAAACCAGCAGTTAGTGCAACTAATGTTCAGTCAGCACACAGTGCAAACAAGTAGAACAAAAAAGGTATATTCCTTCTTTTCAGTTTTCTCTTCACCAGTTAAAAAAGAAAAATGTCTGAGCTCTTTTAAGTTTTCATAGTTCCAAAATAAAAGATGAAAAACCCACAGAGAGCACCCCACAAAAAAAGATGTATCACAGATCCAAAGGAGCCTTCTGTAGTTTGTCAAAGCCTACAGAAAAAGTAAAGAAATCTAAAATTAACATTTTTGAAAGTAATAAAAAACTGTAATATGTAAGTTTTCACAATCCTCATCCCAAATCCTCTAGTAATTTCTACTGAGCCTTTACCACTGCAGAGTCCACTGGTTACAATAAGGAATTTCTCTTAGGCATCCCTGTGATAGAAAGTGATTCTCAAATTCTGGGGACTGACAGGGATTAAACTAAGTAGCCTGCTGAAACACAAGCAAGTAGATGGCTGGTTTTGTTTATCCAAAGGTTTTGTTTTATATTCATCTTAGGAAAAAAGGCTAAAATGAAGAGTAATTTGAAAATTAAGTTACAATAATAGGCAAGACATTCACTGTAATTTGGAGACTATCACTTGTAAATTAAATCAGATTTTTTTGGGGGGAAACCTGAAATAGCTTACATTGCTTTATGTTGAACCTTGTTTTGGGCACTTCATTTTTGTTTTTGTTTTGGTGCTACCGGGGACTGAACCCAGGGTCTCATGGATACATTATACCACAGGTGTATCTCCAGCCCTTTTTATTTTTTTACTGAGACAAGGTCTTGATAAGCTGCCCAGGTTGGCCCTGACCTCTTAACTCCCCTGCCTGCCTCATCGTGAGCAGCAGGGATGATAAGTATGTATCACTGTGCTTAGCCTGCATTTTTAATCAGAATCTAAGTGTCAATAAAAATGAACGAAGCCAGGTTCAGTCACATTTGCACCTCCAGCCTTTAAGGAGGCTCAGGCAAGAGGTAAACCTAAGCATGGGCAACTTGGCAAGACCTTGTCTCAAAGTAAAAAAACAGCTGGAGATGATGCACAGTGGTGAATGCCCAAGGGGTTGAATCTCCAGGCCCCCACCAGTAGGATAAATGTGTGTGGAAAATCAGAGTATTGTAAAAGACAGCCATCCTCATAACCCTATTACACGTTTGGAACTAGGTATTATAGGCAATGTTACCCTGTGTATTAATGTACCAACAGAAATTAAGAATTCTAAAAACAGAGGTGAATGACTTTGTGGGGAAAAGCAGTATTTTCTCACCCAAATTACCATTAGCGATTCTTTTTCACTTTCATTATTTTGGGACCCCAAGCTTGTCTTTAGTGCTCATCTATCACTGGACAAGAAATGAATAGAATTCAATCATTAGGTTCAATGTCGACTAAGAAATTTGATTTAGTTCTTATTGAATTCAGTTTGTGAGCAGAACTGTGGAAAGAATAAGTTCTTGTATTCTCTAATGATACCAATTCCTCAACCACAAGATGTCTACTTATTGTCTGTCACTTATGCTAATGGGTATTTTATCCTATACTGCTATTATATATGGTGAAATAAAATTTCCCCTAGGAAAGAGGATGTCATTTCTTTCTTATATTTAAAGGTTTCACTCACTTCACTGTTATCAGGTACGTACATGCTTGTTATGGTTTTTCATCTTCTACAGGTTCACTGTGGTATTCTGCCACATACAGGCTCTTGTCAATGTTGCTTGGGATAGGTTTAATTTCTGTTCCCAGCTGCTCTTCAATACTCTTCAGGTTGAAGCGATCATCATATGTGATCAAGTTGATGGCTAAGCCAAGATGACCAAAGCGACCTAAAGATACATGTGTTTAATAATTTTAAAAATGAGTTAAATACAAAAATCAATATGCATGTACCTGTACTTGGCAAAAGCACACAGGATTAGTATTTCTCTTCAGTGCCATCCTGAATATAAATATTTCTTATGATCTTCTTATACACACATTACCCTACAACTTCAGGTTTTACAGCACAAAGTAGTACAGGCTTCCTGTATTCGTAGGATCTACATGGATTCATTCAACCAACTGCACATAGAAAATAATATATGGAAAAAATTCTGCTGTGCTGAACACATATATCTTTTCTGGTCATTAATCCCTAAATAATAATCCCTAAATAATAACTACAATAACTTGTTACATAGTATTCTCATTGTTAGGTATTATATGTAAGCAAGAGATGACTTGTAAGTACATGGGAGGATACACATAGATTAAATACAAAAGCCATGCATTTTATGTGAGACTTAAGCACCACAGACTTCTGTGGGGAATTTTGGACCAATTGTTCATGGATACTGAGGAGCTGTACTTTATTTTTTTTTCTTTGATAGTGCTGGGAATGAGAACCAAGTCCTTGTACAAGCTAAGCAAGTGCTTCACCACTGAGCTACACCCTCATCCCTATTTTACTTTATTCAAATGATGAAATGCTCATTTTAACCAAGCTCCCGAAACACACACAGTGAACAGTATAAACTGTACCATCCAGTAAGTTCAGTTTTCACGTGTTACTTTAACTCAAATTAAGTACATGGTAGTTATTTTATTTTTATTTATTTATTTTTTTTGAGACAGGGTCTCACTATGTAGTGAGACTGACCTGGAATTCACTGTGTAGCCCAGGCTGGTCTTGAACTCACAGCAATCCTTCTGCCTCAGCCTCCCAAGTGCTGGGATTACAGGTATGCACCACCATGCCCATTTTTTTTGTTTTTTGTTTTTGTACTGGGGATCGAACTTGGGTCCTTGCACTTGCGAGGCAGGGAGGCAGGCGGTGACCACTGAGCTAAATCCCCAGTAGTGAAGTTATTTTAACTTTTAAAAATAACTCATGATTTATATCTGAATGTCCCCTCAAAACCTCATGTATTCACAGGTGGAGTTTTTGGGAGGTGGCTGGGTCTAAGGTGTGTGAATATGGATTAAGGATGTGTGATAACTAAAGTAGTCTGGGTGTGGATAATGGGAAGGCCCACCCTGGGTGAGGGTGGCATCTACTAATAGGCTTTTAGCCTGGATGGAATATAAAGGGAGGCTTGTTGCTGCCTTCATTTCTGCCTGCTTGGCCATGGACTGTTTCTCCCCTGTCATGCTGCTCTGCCTTGGAGCCAGCCAACTATGAATGGAAGCCTCTACAAACTGTGAGCTAAAATAAACCTTTCTTCCTTTAGCTTGGGGTGTTGGATATTTTGACCCAGTTACAAGGAAATAATTAAGACAATAACTGATTTAGAAATAGAAATTAGGGGCCAGGGATTTAGCTCAGTGGATCTGCTGCCTGCCTTGCAAGCTCAAGGTCCCAAGTTTGATCTCTGGTACAAAAAAAGAAATAAAGAGAAACAGAAATTAGTCATAAAAATGAAACAGAGTATTTGCACTAGTATACATTATTTCAAAAGGAACTAAATTTAGTGATTATACTTTTACAAAATTTCCACCAAGATCATCCCCTTCCTTTTCCTTACCTGATCTTCCAATACGATGAAGATAGGTCTCTGCCAGCTTTGGGAAGTCAAAGTTTATTACCACATTCACAGCTTGTATATCAATACCTCGGGTAAACAGATCTTTAAAAAAGGATATAAAATTTTCATTATACTTTTTAATTTAAACATGCCTTTTGGTACAATACTTAAAATAAATAAATAAATAAAAGGATTGAACCCAGGGCCTTCGTACTGAGCTACATCCCCTTGCCCCCCACCCACTTCTGGTTTTTTTGAGACAGGGTCTCACTATGTAGTTGAGACTGACCTGGAACTCACCATGTAGCCCAGGCTGGTCTCAAACTCACAGCAATCCTCCTGCCTCAGCCTCCCAAGTGCTGGGATTACAGGCGTACACCACCACGCCTGGCTCCCCTGCCCTTTTAAAATTGAGACAGGTCTTGCTAAATTCCCCAGGTGGAACCTGAACTTGTGATACTCCTACTTTAGCCTCCCAGGCTAAAGGTGTCAATGTAACTGGCCCTCAATACTTTTCTAGTGTAACCTAAATCTGTTGATTTCATTCAGTTATTCCAATAAATTTGCAAAGTACTGTTATCACCTTTTATTTATTTTATCAGAAACAAATTTCTGCTCACAAGTTATCTATTCCAAGTCCTATAAGGAACTTTTAAAAAATGGTAGAAATAGGGCTGGGGGATTTAGCTCAGTGGTCCCACAGTCTTAACTCACAAGCGCAAGGACCCAAGTTTGACCTCCAGTATAAAAAAAAAAAGGGTAGAAATATACCATTTCTACAAATGCACAAAGATACCATGAATTTTCCTAGTCTTTTTTCTAATTGTTAATCCCAGATTTATATGGCTAGAACAGTTCGAAAAGAGGTAATTTCATTAATCATTATGCTTTTAGAATTTATTCATTCCATTCTGCTAAATGACCTGAAATAAGTCAACATGCAAATCCTCTCTACTCCGTTTAGTCTCACAATTACTCTATTTCAAACTGAAAAATGACCAAAGACAGTAACACAAGAACTAGGTTTCAAGTTGGGTGTGGTGACGCATTCCCATGATCCCAGCACTCAGGAGGCTAAAGCAGGAGGAACACTTCAAGTTCTAGGTCAGCCTGGGCTACACAGCAAGACCCTATTCTTAACTCACATAGGTAAATCATTACTTCCTTATGAAATCTGGCCCAAGTAAAGTAGTATTCCAATACAACCTTGCCCATTCACTTAAGTATTGTAGAAGGATACTTCTGGGCTACAACAGCAGACCTGAATACATATTAAAAAACACCACATGAGGTATAAAATTCTAGTATTTACAACCTGACACTTTACAGAAAATATGTGCAAGCTTTGCCTTAATGTCATCTTTTATATGTTTATTTATACATTTCATACATACTATGTTACATAGCTTTTATTTAATGACATTATGTAACTTCTGAAAAATAAAAGTATTACCACTTCAAACCTATCTGAGAGCAACACTGGAATGATTAAATATTAAAATATTAATTAATGTTAACAATTCACATCAATGTGTAAGTATAGTACTACTAAGTACTACGGACCTTTTTGGATGAACTGATGGCCTCAAGTTTTTTTTTGCTCTGGAGATCAAACCTAGCATCTTGCACATGCTGGCAAGCCCTGAAACACTGAGTTAGTTCCCTAACTCCCCAAAATTTCTTTTTTTTTTTTTTTTTTTTTTTGGTTTTCTGAGACAGGGTCTCATGATGTAGTTGAGACTGACCTGGAACTATGCAGCCCAGGCTGGTCTTGAACTCACGGTGATCCTCCTGCCTTAGCCTCCCAAGTGCTGGGATTACAGGCATGTGCTACCATGCCTGGCTTCCAAAATTTATTTTCTTAATGGATAAAAACTGTCTAATAGAGTACTGCCTGATGGCAAATGGCACCTCTTAGTTCCTATACATTCTAATTTGATTAACTCAAAAGCAGTTCAATGATAAACTATCTTAAAAGGTTATATATGTGCAAGAATTTAAAATACATAAATTAAAAAGTATATTTTTATAACACCTAAGAATGAGCAGAGTAAATAAATCTGTTAAATGTATGAAATACAACATATTTAAAATGCAGTTTATAAGGTACTTCCAATATACAGGAAAAAAAAAAGCATAAAAGATGAAAATACAACTTGCTTAGGTCATAATTAAAGGTTTAAAAAAAAAAAGATGAGGATTTGGAACCTCATCTTAAAACATCTAGGTGTTTAGTATCTTTTCCACTATGTCAGATATAGTTCAAGGACTTCATTGTAAGTCAGGCCTGCTAATAAAGTGAAAAAAAATATAAATATAGTCACAGATCAATTAAATGTAATTTCAGATCTAGGGCACAGACACAAGATAATAGTATTTGAATCAATTTTTTTTGGTACTGGGGATCAAACTCGGGTCCTCGCACTTGTGAAGCAGGCAGCGAATCCACTGAGCTAAATCCCTAAGCCTGTGAATCATCTTTTTCAGTCATTTTGATTTCTTTCTTGTGGTGGTGGGAATTAAGCCTAGGGTCTCACAAAAGCTAGTCATAAGCTCTACCACTGAGCTACAACCCAGCCCCCTTTGATTCTTATGAATTCAAATTTAATTCTGGTAGAAAAATGTTGGAGTTTACTTTCAGAACAGCAGCTTAATTCCAGATTTCTAAAATATTTTAACATGTTCCTGCAGATCTATTCACTTTTATCCATATTTTTACTAATATTAATTCATAAAAAGCTGCCCAAGAGTGAGATGTGAGTTATGGCCGCCATGAACTTGTGAAATCTTTATCTATGTTGTGGTTTGATGGGTATATACACATAACACAAAAATTCATCAAATAATATACTTCAGATTAAATAACTCCAAATTCTCTTTCCACCTTAGATTATTAATCTCGTAAGATTAACATTTCCAGTTTAGACATAGAAGGATAATGAATCCATTTGCTTTGTCTGATCTGACAATTTCTAAAACATAGGCAGTGCCTTAGTATAATTCACTTTGTGTAGCTCATTCTTGTATGCTAAAACTATTCAGAAAACAGAAACCTGAAAACTAGTTTTAAAAATCAGATTAAGTATGCATACCAAAACAAGTCTTCTGCAGATTCAGATATGGGGCTCAATTTTAGATGTCTGTTAGAGTTCACAACTCTACATGTTATAGCAGAGTGTGATGGATTATGTCATACGTTGCACTATGTGATACAAAGAAAGCAACCCAGAAATAAGGAGAAAAACACTGAGTAAAAGATATCCAAAAATACTTACCAGTGCAAACAAGATTGCGGCATAAGCCATTTCGGAAATCATGAAATACACGATTTCGATGTTCCTAGAAAAAACCCAATATATTCCATTTGATTAAAACCTAAACATATCCCCAAATTTTCATTGTTTCCCCTAACCCAGCAGTTGACTTTATCTAAATCAGTAACTTTAACCTTCTTTTAAAACCAAACATAAATGCTTAACCTATCAGTCTACAGAAATTGCCTTCTTATAAAAGGTGTCTTACCGGGCCGGGGATTTAGCTCAGTGGTTCCACTGCCTGCCTTGCAAGCACAAAGGCCTGAGTTCAATCCCTGGTACAAAAAAAGTGTCTTATCATAGCTTTGAATTGTTAAAACGTATTATGAAATTTGGAGGACCGCCCCCCATACTGGGGATTGAATTCAGCCCTTGCACTTGCCAGGCAGGCATGGTGCCACTGAGCTACATATGCCCAGCCTTTGAGATATCTTTTTTTTTTTTTTTTTTGGTACCATGAATCAAACTCAGGTCTTTGTGCTTGTGAGGCAGGTGGCTGAACCACTGAGCTAAATCCCTGGCCCCTGAGACATCCTTTTCATTAAAGGCAAATAAAAGATAAAAAAATCTGTTAGCTTAGTGGCCCATATACAGTAGTTCAGCTTTATCTTTCATTTCACTTTCCATGATTTTTCTAGTCAACCTCAGCTCAAAATATTACATGGAAAACCCTATAAATAATTCCTAAGTTAAACTGCATACCTTTCTGAGGAGTGTGATGAAATCTTACATCATCCTTTTTGTATATGTGTTGCCCAAGAAAGACCTACATCATCCTGTTTGGAATGTGAATCATCCTTTTGTCTGTCTACTGCTCACTACCTGTATCACTTAACTCTTTCAGTTATCAGCTTAACTGACATGGTATTACCATGCTTGTGTTAAGTAACCCTTATGTAGTAGCCTAAAGCTACAACACTGACCATGTCTACATTATCTGCCTCCCTACACCATGCAGGCACTCATCTTGCATCATCACACGAAGAATGAGTCTTGTTAAGATTACTTATATAAGTTCACTTTATTATATATGATAAACAAATCATTCTATTTTATTAACTGTTATTAATCTCTTACTATACCTAATGTATATATATGTATGTATGTATGTATTTTTTGGTACCAGGGATCGAACTTGGGACCTTGTGAGGCAGGTGGCAGCACCACTAAGCTAAATCCCCAGCCCCTTCATTTATATATTAAAATTTAGCACAAGTATAAACACACATAAAAACAGCATATACAGGTTTGGTATCATTTGTAATTATACACATACAGTGTGGGTATCTCTGAACATATTCCCCTTGGATGAGGGGGGACTACTATATTTAAGTTAAAAACCTACAGCCATGTTTTCAGAAATGAAAAGTTTAAAATTTTTATTTCATAATACAAAAAGTCACTAGCCACAGATGAATACTTGAACGCATCTACTTCGATGAAGGAACTAAGTTTTTAACTTCATTTTAACTAAATCATCACATATGGCTAACAGTTATTAAATGATACAAATCTAAAAATTATCTAGGAAAGACAATTAAATTTCACTTTTATATACTCCTTACTGCTTACTCACTCATGTACAGTTTTCAGTCTTCCTAACAAACTTGTAAGGTACATATACTATTACCCCTATTTTATTTTTAGATAATCAAACCCCAGGGAGTTAGCTAAAACATTAAAAAAAAAAAAATCAGTTCCTAGCTAGCTTTATACTCACCTGCCTCATTTTAGCATGAATATAGAAGCAAGAATAACCCAGTTGAGAAATCTTCTTGGCTAGTAATTCAACTCGCTGAGAGGAGTTACAGAAAATGATTGACTGGTTTATCTGAAGCTGAGCACAGAAAAAAAAAAAACAAAAAACAACAACCCAAATCTTTAAGTCTTGCAAATCTGGTTTATCTGAAGCTGAGCACAGAAAAAAAAAAACAAAAAACAACAACCCAAATCTTTAAGTGTCTTGCAAAATCTTGAATATATTAAAAGTCTAGAATTCTATAACAAGAGATGGAAGGTTGTAAAACCTTTAAAATATGACTTAATAGTTACAGATAATGATGTGTATTTTATTCTAGAGGAGTGTATTTCATAAGGTCCACATAACTACCAAAGAGAGTAAAACACAGTTGATTCGCATTATCCCACTAATATGTTCTATAAAGTCATTACAAACACTGAGTTAGCAAATATAGGAGCAAGCCTCACCTCTAGTGGAAAACACAGGGCTGGATTCCTATGAGCTTTTGGTCACCATTTTTTAAAATCAAAAGATCCACATATAATCTTGTTTTATGTGGGTTTCTATTTTAGGGTATCTTAATACAGTCATACCTCAAACCACTCTAATTCATTTCTGCAAAAAACATACAAAACCATCTTTTCTGCAAGGCTTGGTCTTGTGCTTGGAAGCAATGGGCAGTACTTCAACACAGTGTAGGAACCATTTTAAACAGTAAAATATTCAGTAAAAAGCACAAAAATTTGAAAAACATGACATGTGAACTGTGAAAAGAACACTTGTTCATTGTTTGAGAATCAGATCAAGAAAACAGAACATCATCTTCTTTGACCTCATTTGGGGAATGGGCAAGTCAGGATGAGTCAATTTTTTTGCCACACTACACATGTTCACAAATGACTGAAAATGCCAAATAGGCAGAATAAATACAGAAAATGAATAGTGATGACCAATTTTAACTAAAGTTAAATTATTTTAAAGTAAAATTAAAGTCTGTCAATTACATAAATCAATTGAAGCTGCCTTTTAGGAAACACTAAATACTTTTTTTAAAAAAGTGTGAACATTTTGAGATAAAGTCTATTTTACTGGGATTAAGTGATGAACAGCAGCGGAAAACTACTATTTACCCTGGAGAAAAGTGTGTTGAGGCAGTGTACTTTTTGGCGCTCAGTTACATATGCGTAGTACTGGGTTACTCCCTTCAAAGTTAGTTCCTCCATCAGGTTAATCTCATAGGGTTTCTGCAAATGGGAATTCTGGAAAAAAAAAAAAAAGGAGGAGTCTTTATTTATTTATTTTTTTTTTTCATTAAGTTTATTGGTGCTATTTAGGTATACAGTAGTTACACTCATCATTGGGATCTTACACCTTCACATGATGTATCCTGGTTCTTATTTTTTCCCCAAGGAGTCTTATTCTTAAAGCAGAGTTTTTTTGTATCTTAAACTCAAAATATATGCATTTTTGTCTGATAAATTCTTGGTCTAAGAGATTCATCTCTCTTCAAGACGACAAGTTACATGAAAAACAAATTACTGTAAGATGTAAGATCTCAGATTCAGAATGCAGCTACATTATTGTTTTGCAGAGAGTGCAATGAATTTACCCTGCTATCCTGCTAACATCAACTGCCTGTGTCATCCTGACACCAAGAACTAAGTAGAAAAATGAAGAATTTAATCCATTTTATTATAGCTTTTAAAAAACTGAATGTATATACAACTATTAATTGATCAGCTAAAAAAAAGCCAAAATTTTTGAAATAACATAAAGCTTATATTCTGATACTATGATTTTATGGATAAAAGCATCCTTATAGGCAACAGGAAGGTAGTGGTTCTAACTACAAATTTATACTCACCATGAACTTTTGCACACTAAGAGGGAAAGTAGCAGAATATAGTAAAATCTGTCTGTTTTTAGGTAACGTGAGAATAATATCCTCCATTATCTGCACAAAATCCTGTGACAGCAACTTATCTGCCTGTAAGACACAGAAGACGGTTTAAAAAACAATAAAATGCTATCTAAAGTCTTTGCCTAATGTATGAACAAATAATAAAGCATAATCAATCCAGTAAGAATATCCAAAGCATGATCTCCAATATGTCACAGAGTTAAATGGCATCAAGACAAATTTCCACTAATCCAGAAGAGTAAAAACCCACACCACTCATTTTTAGGGGGGGGAAAATTTTCTAGACCAGTGATGGAGCTTCCAATGATACAAAAAACCTGCTGCAGCACACATGCCATAGGTTCACTACCGCTGTTCTAGACTAATAAAACCTGTTCTACTCTAATGGAATTTTAATACATTACATTTAAGGTTCTGGAGGTTGTGAAGTCAAACTATCTGGGTTGAAATGTATCCTTTATTCACTAGCTATTTGAGGGACATTATTTAATCACTTTTTACTTCGTTTTCACAACTGCAAAATTGGGCTATTTACAAACCATAATAATTACTTTATGAGACACATGTACCTTTTAGGATTATTATAAAAATTAAATGAAAAAAAACCCACATAAAATAGTGTTGGCACATACTGATTAATAGTAAATGTTAGTTCATATTAAAGATAAAAGTCTGATCTGAATTAGACATGATCAATGTAAAACACAAACCAAATGAAAAAGTAACTATGGCAAAATATTAACACCACCGATAGGCCACACCTTTAAAGCACTTCTGGATCCTAGAGTTACAGAGTTGAATAAGTTCTTAAAAGGTACTTATAATCTGGTGAGACAATACACATAACAGAAAACAAAACCTAAACAATACAAAGGAGCATGAACAAAATGAGACGTTAGAGCCATATGCTTTAAAAAAACATAGACTTAGAATGAATGTGGCTTTGAAGTCATTCAAAAACTCTTCTTAGGGCCGGGGATTTAGCTCAGTGGTTCAGTGGCCTGCCTTGCAAGCTCAAGGACCCAAGTTCAATCCCTGGTACCAAAAAAAAAAAAAACAAAAACAAAAACAAAAACCCAAAAACAAAAACTCCGCTTAAAATAAATAAATAAAACCTAAACTATCCAGTATCCCTAAGAAAAAGACTGACCAGAATGCCTATCATCTATTGCTTTGAAGATGAAACATGTTTTTTTAATAAGCAAATTAGTTTTAACTCACCAGTTAAAATGTTTATTGGAATGGTATAAGCAAATAGCTTTTGCATCATTCAATGCAAATTATAAGCAAAGCTTAAAATAGGATAGAATAGTATCTTTGCAAATGAAGAGACATTACCTCATCCAATACTATCATCTGGACATGATCAACCTTCGCTACTCCTTTCTTGATAAGATCCAGGATTCTGCCAGGGGTAGCGATTACCACATGCACTACACAAGATTTAGAAAATATGCATTATTCTCACTCATTTTTGCCTGGACAAAAAGAACATTGCATGTCTATAATAGTTATCTTTTATAATAAATACTGTAGATATAAGCGTAATACAAAAAGATACAAAGATGAGCTTTAGGCCGTACAGTATATAGCATTTCCATTTCACCTTAACACAGCTAGAGAATATTTTGTTTGTTCACCTCTATGTGTGACAGGCTACAGCATCCCAAAGTACCTACTCCAAACAGAGAACATACTTGCTTGTCTTAGAACAATCCATAATAAATAACACAAGGCTTATCAGACTTCTGACACAGTACAAATGTCTCTACACTAGAGCAATGGAGTTTAGCAGATTGTTATAAGGATAAAAAATGATCATTAAAAAAAAAAACTACACAGTACATGTTGGGCGTAGTAACACATGGCTGTAATCTCACTTGGGAAGCTGAGACAGGATTACTGAGTTTGAGGCCAGTTTGGGTTATATAATGTGTTCAAGGCCAGCTACACTACAACACCCTACCTCAAAACAAAAAAACCCACAACTATGTAGTACAAAGAATTACCAAAGCAATCAAATGATGTATATAAAACTGAGGAAGATTTGTGTAATTATAAAAGTGATCACATTTTTGCTGTTTCGTCACCTTTTTATACTTGATAATGTACTATGGGGATCCCGTCATGAAAATGAATGCAGATCAGCTTTACCCATTAATGGCTATATGGAAATCCACTCAGATAATACAATTAGCAAATCACCTGAGACACTGAGATTAATCCAATTTTCCAATACTGTAAATCACACCACAGCAAAAAACCTTGTACATATAACCTTATAGTCACCCAATTATTTTAAGTCTTAAACATTCATAACCTGAAATATACTGCCAAACAATGTTGTAAGACAAATTTTCTACAAATTTGTATCAATTACTATTATTTTGATATTAGAACAATTAACATAAATTTCCTATCTCAGTCACAGTTAAAAAAATTACTAGTAAGGTTAAATATTGAATACTAAATACCTATTAAATGTACTAATTTACTAAAAGGAAGCACCTATGATTAAAATCAGAGCTACATAATCTCAAGCTCTTACCTGTATCATCAAGTCTCATTATGTCATCTCGTAAATTGGTTCCTCCTGTGGTTGCCATCACTTTGGCCCCTCCCATGTGTTTGCTGACCTGGATGCAAATTTGACTGACCTGTAGAGCAAGTTCTCTAGTAGGAACAATCACCATAGCTGGCGAACATCAAGGAACAGAGAAAATAAGAACATGTCATATTTTAAGACATAAAATGCTCCTTCTTTGTTCTAGATACTGAGACTTATTAAAAAGTCTAATCACAATGGGTCTAACAGATATATATTAATATTTCCACAAGTTCTAACAATGTATGTTTGACAGTAAGATTCACTAATTTAAAAACCATGGCAGGAAAAATTTCTACTGCCCAGGTTCTATTTACATCATATGAAATGAAGAAATGGTAATTACACAGTAAGAAAACTATGATTTTAAAAGCTGTGGAATAAATCTTAATTCTATTAGCTTATCCTGGGTAAGCTTACAGAAAGTTCTTTTTTCTACTGCCTAAGCTCTTAAAAGCTCCAAACCACAAGCCTTTACAGAAGTTGTTCATGCTTCTACAAAGAACTCTGCAGACGCATAGCTACAAGAAACAATTCAGTTCCACAGCTCATAAGAAGCAGTGTTAAATAATTTAACCTCATGATTTAGCTTTCCTATATATAGGACAAGAACTCTTAGTTTGCCGATCTCACTGGAATAAACACCGTTGAAAGTCTTTATTATATAAAAGTACTCTGAAAAGTAGAAACCTCAGGCTGGGAATTTAGCTCAGTGGTTCTGCTGCCTGCCTCACAAGCGCAAGGACCCGCGTTGGCTTCCAGGTACCAAAAGAAGTAGAAACCTCTTTAAAGTTGGAAATAATCTTTAGGAAACAATTAGGCCAAAAGCTACAAAAATAATCATAATACAGTACCAGATTATGTAAATTCTACCAAAGAGAGTCAGAACTATTTTCTTCCCAGCCCCCAAAGTTTAAACTACCATGTTTACTTTAAATCAAACACAAACTTTACTCCAGCTAACCTTGTATATTGTCCTTCTTCAGGTCTAGCCGTTCAAGTAAGGGAATGAGGTAGGCGCCGCTCTTGCCTGTTCCATTTTTTGCTCTAGCTAAGATATCCCTACCAGATAAAGCAATGGGAATGCTCTCCTCCTAGAAGACAAAACAATTCAAAAGTATTGGTCATTAAAAGCAGTAAATAAGCAAATTCTTATCTAAAACACACTGAAAGATAAACTCTTTTGGTATTCAAGTGTCCTACATTTGCATTTTACATGAATAACAAAGCCCAAAGTGAACATCATCATTATCAATCCGTATTTACAGAACTGCTTGTAAAATCTCTAAATTTTATTTTTGGTTATACTGGGAAATTTAACCCAGGGCTTTCACAAGGCCATAGCTGTATCCCCAACCCCTCGGGAAAAAAAAAAATTTTTTTTAAATTTTGAGACAGTGTTCACAGAATACCTTTTAAGTTATATCCCAATGTAACAAAAATTGGGCATGTGAGTAGATACATATGGAGTAAATTTAAAGTGAAGGAAAAACAAAGGGCCACAAATAGGACTTAAATATACAGACACACACAAAAAAAAAAAAAAAAAAAAAAAAGAGTATTTCAATTCAAAATTGGAGACAAAAACCCAGCATAAAGAATGCCAAGAAAAGACCAATATATTTCAATACATATTTTCAGACTACGAAGCCAATTTCAAGAGTGAAAATTTGTAACTCGGGCTGAGGGTGTTACAGCGTGGTAGAGTGCATATTTAGCATCCACAAGGCCCTCCATTCAATCTCTTGCACCAAAACCAGTACCACTGAAAAACTATAGTTGATAGTTTACCCTTGTACAAAAAAGAAATACGTCAGAAACATTTTATCTCAGGTCCTCCTTGGCATTTATTATTTATACATTACATAAATCTCCAATGTCTTTTACCAAATTGTTTTGAAATATGCTCAACTTGGAGGCTCACTCCTATTTGTTATTTTATTCCACGACTGCATCACTGAGAATGACTTCTCATTTTTAGTTTATTTTGTCATGTGTGTTTTTGCAGAAGATAATAATACTTCCTATTATTTTGGAATACAGTAAAGGATTACCAATAATTACTGGAAATTAAATACAGACAGTATACAGAGAGAAATTTAAAGGGAGAACAGGTACAAAGTTGGATAAAAGAGAATGTAGATAATATTCAGCTACCCACCGCCCTTGCGGCAGAAAAGTAATAATACCATATAACCTGTTCCTGAAGACATACCAATTAGTTGGTAATGGGATCTAGGGATCTAAGGATCTAAGGTACAAGGTTATGAGGGAAAAATATAGTTGGAAGGATATTTCATCTAAAAAGAACTAAGTTTTAAACCTCTGAAGACTTTTTAGTTTCTGTGATCTTCTACTGTAAGATAAATATCAAGTAATAAAATAACATCCTGTCCCCCAAATTTGACTGATTCACAGGTCAGCTGACTAGTCAAAATTTGCCTTCTTTTCCACCGCCTACCCAGCAAGTGCAACGACCCGAGTTTGATCCCCAGTACAAAAAAAATTTTTGAATTCTCATTTTTAAATACTAAAACCTCACATAAAGTTCAACAATGTTATTACACTTTAGAAACACAATCACCATCACACTCTTAAGTAATTCTGGTTTATAAAGTGGCTCTAAATAGAAAAGCATTAATAAGACTCAAATTAATTTCTATTAAACTAATCAATTGATATTACAATATTATATAATAATCCAAATCAGTCATTTTGAAAGCCCATGCCTTGGTCATACAAGACTAGAAAACAGTTTAGTAACAACTACTGATAACTTTTACCATTAAAGCAGACATAAAGGCCATGAAGGCTACTCTTTAGATTCTGGGGTAAGAAATATTTTTGTAAGGGTTTCCCTTCCATTTCTCATCTCAAAACTAAAGCAAGAGGAACATTTAGAATTGTCATATTAAGGGCCTTTATAAAAAAATATTTCTAAAATAAGGGTATATTATCAAAATTTGTTTGATGTCCCTGTAACAAGGACAAAAATAGCTATAATTAAATGAAGGAACTAAGCACATTTCTGCTCCTAGAGAAATACTATTTTCCACAACAGAACAAGAGAAAAATAGACTCAGTGCCTTACCTGTCAAGTAAATTTTGGACTAAAAGGACTGGAGAGTGTGATATGAATAAGACATTCGTAGTCACATGCTGTACACAGCAACAAAGAATTTATTTCACCATTGAAATCAATCAGACTCAAAAAAGTCAAAGAATTTAGAATCTTGTAATGATTCGAGTTGTGAACTCCAAATAAAACTCAACGTATCATTTCTTCAATAACTGCCATAGATAATAACTCAGTAACTATATTTTACCTAACTAAATTCAGTCTATCCATCTGTTTTTTTCAAACGTGACAAATACTTTTAAAAATGTTTTTTCTTCAAAATCCTCTACATAATCTATTAAAAAAGGAGACTCCTTTTCTTTTTAGCTTCAAAATACAGAAGTTTTTTCTAATCATTACTGACATATGTATTACTAGATATGCCTCAGTGATGGCTTATCAGTGTTGTTGCATTTGTGAGAAAGAATTGAGTGGTTCAGTTTGTTGCTTCTTTTTAAATTTAATTTTTTGAGACAGAATCTTGCTAAGCACTCCAGGCTCACTATGTAGCCCAGGCTGGCCTCAAATTTGTAGTGATCCTTCTGCCTCAGTCTTCAGAGTGCTGGTATTTGCAGGTGTGCCCACCGCACCCAGCCAGTCTGTTGCTTTAAAATGTTACACATTCTATCATTTAGGAAATTATACCATGCCACGGAAAAATGGAACTGCATTAAATCTGTTGAGAAAGAAAAGATCACCAGAAGGTATCTTTTTTTTTTTTGTGGTACTAGAGTTCGAACGTAAGACTTTACTCTTGCCGGGCACGTGTGGCACCATTGAGCTATATTCCCCATCTTAAAGATAAAGGACATTTTAAATAAACCTTCTTAGAGCTAAAAACATTGGTCACTGAATTAAGTGTCCTGTTGGTACTGACAAAAAATAGAGTACTGGAAATCCATTAACCTGTCTGTCCCAGAGGTTAAACTCAACTGTACAATGAATAAGTTAAAAAGTTCAACCTGCTGTTTGTTAAATCACTTTTTTTCCTTCTATGCCTGGGCAAATAACCAAAAGAAATGACACTTAAAAACTGATATAGCAGGGGATTTAGCTCAGTGGTGCCACTGCCTGCCTCGCAAAAACAAGGTCCTGAGTTTGATGCCTGATACCAACCCCTTCCCACAAAAAAACCCTGTTATTATAGAAATAACTAAGTCATCCGGTGGTCTGCCTTGCAAGTGCAAGGACCCGAGTTCAATCCTGGTACCCCCCCAACAAAAAGAAAGAAAAAGAAAAAGAAATAACTAAGTCATAAGCAGCCTTGACGTCCATCTCCCACCACTGATAAATAACCTTTTCTACTTAGAACCCCAATCACAAGGATCAAGAGTTCCAGATGGGTTAGAATAACACAACTCCCAGAACTGTGAAAATAGTCCAGCAACAATAGTTTTTTATACATAGTTGAGACTGACCTGGAACTCACTATGTAGCCTAGGGTGGTCTTGAACTCACAGCAATCCTCCTGCCTCAGCCTCCCCAGTGTGGGGATTACAGGCATGTGCCACCATGCATGGCTTCAGGGACAATACTGTTAATTAAGTCTTTCAGCCAGTAGTCTGCTAATTATGGTAAGGCAGTCAAATAAAAATACTTTGGGTTTGACTCTTTTCATCTTAATTTCTTCCTTGAAATTTTAATTCTGCTAATCTTCAATTGATTGAAAGGTTTCCATCACTTGCACAGGTTAGATTCGTCCTCTTCTGTGGTGCCTGAACAGTTTTTGTTTTAAGGATAGCCACATATCACTCAATTCTGCAGCATTAAAAAGGATGGATGGTCTCTGAGAGTGTCCTAATGACTGGCTGAACCAGGTTCTTTGAAGGATAAAACTTCAGAATGAAGTAAAGCAAGAAAGAATTAGAATCCTTACTCCCATATTTAGTTCACTTTTTGATTGACTTGGATTAAGGTCACTAACTTCTATTTCTCTGCCCTCTTTGACAAGGTTTGTGCCCTAGAGATACTGTTTAAGAAAACTTTAACAAGGTACTTAGGAGTAGGTGAGTAAAGGCCTGGCAACCAGATGCCTTTTCTCTGTGTCTAGCATCTTCATGACTGATCCCAGACTGCAATGTCTAGGCCTGTGATCTGGGCTTGCAGGCTAGGGTTGACTGAGGGCTTTACAGTATCCTGAAGTAGCCCCTACTTACTCTATAGAAATGGGCAAGTTGATGAAACCAAGGAAAGTGGTACTAGTTCTAGCCAGACACTACTCTGGACACAAAGCTGTCCTCATGAAGAATGTTGATCATGGCACTTCAGACTGTTCCTTCAGTTATGCTGTGGTGGCTGAAACTGCTATCCCCACAAAGTGACAGTGGCCATGGGCAAGAAATTGCCAAGAGGTCAAAGATCTAATCTTTTGTCAAAGTTTATAGCTACCTCATGTCCACCAAGTACTTGGTGGACACCTCCTTGGACAAAATGTTGTCAACAAAGATGTCTTCAGAGACCCTTCTCTCAAAAATAAGATCTGATGAGAGGCTAAGGTCAAGTTCAGAGTTAGCAGACCAACAAGAACAAGTGGTTCTTCTAGAAGCTTTAGTTTTGTTCACATTATTAAAAAAATTTTTAAGTACATACAAAAGTCTGTAAATGAAGATGCACTGATAATGTGTTCTATATGATGACCATTAGGATTAGCAGAGAACTGAGAATAACTATAGTCATTTTAACACTAGCCTCCTAGGAAAAATAGGTAGTATGAAGCAAAAGAATTCAAGCCAAGTTCACAAGAAGCAATCTCAGGGAGCTGCTATGAAACACAAGAGGCTAACATTGGGAGCTGCCGGGAAGGGAGGAGGAGGAAGAAAACTACAAATTTTAAAAACTTAATTATGTGCCATGTACAAATATTAGAAATGATAGATTAAATTATTTACATTCTTTCAAATTAGATACTTTTCAATTGTTATACGATAAAAAAATCCTCAAAGGAGTCTGGTTGTTTTGCTCAAAATCACAAAGCAA